TTCTAATTAATGATAAGAATCTGTGAGAGAAAAGGATCCAACCGACACTCCTGTGAATCTGTTTTCATAAAGTATTCCCATCATTTCTGCCTGGCTCTCCTTCTTTCCTTTTTAGGTTTTTTTGTGGTTCTTTATATAATTATCTTAACTTCCTTCCTGCATTCTGACAACTGGGTGAATTTCAGACTAGGTTTTACCTCTGAGGAACGCAGAAAATCATGTTAAATAGGATCATTAACATCATACATGCATTTATATCAACACTAGACTCTTTAGAATAGATAACTGAGACGATTTGCTCTGTGGATTTTATAAATCTTTGCATTAAAGTTTTGAAAGCAGAAGGTTTTTCAAAGATCAGGTGACTGTTGATCCGTCTGATTTCAATCTGCAGGTCGGTGATGGAGGCACGAGGTCCCTGATTAACCGATGTTCTCTGTCTCCCAGCATCAGGAAAGGTCTGCTCCCCGTGAAGGTCTGCCGCTCGGCGCTGCAGCTCCACATGCGAGGCAAACCCAAGAGCGTCACCGTGGAAACCAAAGCGGGGCAGACCGTCGCAGACTTCAAGAAGAGCCGAGACGGTTTCATCCTGCTGGTTCCCGATAAATGAGGAGAACTTCTTCTTCAGCTTCGCCGCACATCCCCACCCCACAGAGAACAGAACCCGGTTCATCTAGCCTGAGCTGCACGCAGAGAAACGACGAGGTGTTAGCCAAACTATACAGACTCTTAAATCTGCTACAATACTGAGACGTTTCACATGATTTCTGCTTTTTTTTATAGGATGTTTTTTAAAATATAGTCTAGAAATATAATAAATGATAAATATTGATAACAAAACCTGCGTCCAAAAGTGTTTGGGTCTGACCTGAGACTTGGTTGCATGCATTCAAGCATTGCACGGAGCTACAGCTCACACTGTACGACGAAACCGCAGGGTTTAAAAGTTCACCGATCACGATGTTTGTTCTCACACTGTGCGACGCTCCAATGCGATCTACCTGTAGACTGTATGTCTAAAAACCAGGTGGGACTCAGCTCCGACCTAGGAGTCTCACTCGGACTCGTCTATCCAGAAGCCAAACGAGTAGAAGAGGAATATGAAGCTCGCTAGAGTGAAACGCAACAACGTATTTGGAAAAAGACGTGGCTGAGCAAACGTGGCTACTACGATCTGTCAATTTTACAGAAAGAACTCCATGTCACTCTTTGCACCCCCGCCATTATTCTGCGTTTTCATCTGAGAGGAAGAAGAAGAAGAATCCTTGCGATTTGCCCACGACGGTCGGGAGAAAATCAAACACGATTCCTGATGGGGAGGTGGTCGTTAGAGACTGATCGCCAGTCTCACGATGCTAGCCTCGTGAGACCATCCTGATCTCGC